ACTTGTCCACGATAATATGATTTATCTCGTCGAGTGTCTCGTGGTTCGCGAGAACGCGACCGGTCGTACGATATAAATATCGACAACCGCTCGATAAATCGTCGAGGATAAAGCAAGAAGCGAATGTCTCGACCGTGGGAGAGACTTTTCTAAATGCTACTTTTTAAACAAACAAAGAAATAATCGTATTGGTTCTATCGAAAAGCATCGAGAGCAACAACGTTGGTATTCTCATCGTCGCATAGCGCATGCCACACGTCACACGTCGCGCCGTAAGCGATTACGGTACAAGTACATTTTATAAATTCAACGGAAAGCTTCGGCGATCGAATCTTCTCGATAATCGGAGAACAATCGCCGAAGCTACGACTATTTTATTCGAGGCGAAGAAAGTCGGTGTTGCATGGGACTGAAATTAGCAGGAAACACGATGTACTTGGGAGCACGTTACGCTGCCTCCGGGCAATCCAGGTCACTTCCGTCGAAATCTCATTACCCATTTCCAACTGAGAAATTTAATCAGACCCGCTAGCAGAAACTGGTTGGTACCGTCGAGTCGCCTCGATCAGTGTCCTCTTTGGACCAAATAATTCTCGCTAAATCAATTTTGTTTTCATCTTGCTACGATTGCGACCGACGCGACGCGACGCCGACGCGAACTGGGACCGCGGATATTCGATGATCATGATCGCGTCCGCATCGCGTTTTTCTTCTGAATATATAGAAGAGCTTTTCAACGGGATCGAAAGCGACGAATACAGTCCCAAAATCGCCGCTAGAGAAACAAAAAAAACAATTTATTCGTTTGATATTTCCAAATAACGTTTAGCGAATCGCAGAAAGGGAGGAGGGAAAAAGAGCGGGCGATTCGACGAACGTCGAAACGGCGACGGAACGAATTTCAATTGGCTTTTGGTGGAAATCGAAACGGCCGGTCACAGTTGCGGCACTATGAGTAATGTCGGTTTCATTTAAACTTTCTCGATAAATGAAATTTCTGTCTGCGCGGTAGCGGTAACGATTGATGAGTTGCTGTAGCGCGTTTCATCGGTCTACCTTCGTTACGTGCGATTGTTTATTTGCGATAATTGTCATCCATCAACGTTGCGATCAAATCCGACAACCAACCGTTTTAATAAAAGTCTAAAAGAACCACGAATGAAAAGGCGTGTATTTTGTACGCGTAAAAAGTTACGAATCGATCGGACGATCGGACTACATCGTCGGATATTTTGTCCACAGATTCGAAAGATGGCTTTAAAGTCCGGTCCGAGCGCGAGCAATGCGACGGGATGCAGATGAATCTGGTCGATGCGACGCAAAAGGGAATAGATAACGATGCACTCGAAAGGCTCTACGATTGATAGGGAAAGGGAAAGCAAATATGGTGCGAGCGTAGGCACGTAATAAATAGAGAGAATGGTAAATTAGTCGGCGATCGCGTATCTTTGATGAAATAGGTACGAGTGCGTCGGATTCGCGAATTAAAAGGCTAAAGTTTTCAACGCTTTTCGCACCGCACCGTGTCCGTGTACGGCTCGAAAATTCGCGTACGCTACGTTTCACAGGAAAACCAGACAATTCCCAGCGGTCGGTTAATTAAACGAGGATTTCGTGGTCGAGATCAAATTCGTTTTTTTAATTTCACGCAAATTACATTTGCCTCGCGAGCATTTTCAAGTTTCATCGCTCCTCGAGTGGCCGCCAACTTGCTACTCCCGTGTGCAACTAATAACGTTACGTCCGCGCAGCTGAATAATACGTCTCGTGTAACGAATTCATTTTTCACCGGCGCTTAGTGCACTTGAAGGGCCGTGCACGGCTCAAAGGAGAACGTTTCGTCTAACAACCAACTGAACTGGTAAAACTGGTGGCTGCTGGTAATGGTAACCGCGCGCAAAATCACCACCACCACCGGTCACTCTCGCGGCTCCATACATTTAACGGAATTTTACTCGACCATGGACAATTGGAAGATTCCTACCTGCCTTCAATTCAACGTCAACAGATTCGAAAACCAAACAACGGTCCTAACGCGGTTTCGTTATTCGACCATTATTATTGTTATCTCTTAACAAAGACACGTAAAGTAGCTACAAGAAGGAACATTTACTTTTGGAGCATACCCGACGCGTCGGAGAAATTAGATTACGACCAGTTTACGACCATTTTTTCTGGAAAAAGTAATCGATCGAACGAAAAAAACGTTAACGAGTTTCTATTAATTTAAACTTAGTCACGTGCTGCCACCTGACGTCAAACTTGACAAATTCTTCGTTACAGGCGAAACAAAACGCGTCATCGTTGATATTAATTAACGCGCGCGGCATCTCTCTTTAGATTACGAGTATATTACGTTCCAGAAACAAAACGATCGTTACGTTCGATATTTCTCTTCGATTCGTGCGCGTTTCGTTGGCGATACTTGTTCTAAATAAAACTCGTACTATTCGAATTGGTTCGACACTGTTGTCAAAATGAATAAACAAACAGTCTGTTTTCGCTGATTTCGCGTCGGCGTTGGCTCGCGTTCTTCGAACGTTCGATACGTACAAACTTGGAAAAGAAAAATCACTCGATTCGCTATCCATCCACCACCCCACGTCGCTATCAACTCGATACTCGATTGGAATTATGTTGTCCTCGAAGAACATATCATAGATACATATACATACGTACATGTATGTATGCATATGTTATAGGTTCTGTTTCGCGTACAGATTACCGCGTGTACGACGATCGACGAATAGAAAAATAAATCTCGCGCGCCACGGTTGGCTCGTTTTTTTACGGGTACGTTCGTATACGAGCGAAAAGAATACGAAAAGATTACCTTTTTTCAAATATGATAATGAAACCGGTGAGTCTTCAGAGGGAAAACAAACATTTCGGGTTCTCAGTTGGACACAACACGCGAACACATTTCTCCCGCACTTGTTACACTCGAGAATTGTCCGACAGCGACGATCGAAAACTCACCGTGAAATGCATCGGTACGAAACACGCGAACATCGTTTCGAATCGGTACAGTCGAAAATGTCGACTCGCGAGAGTTTTAGATGCCACGGAGTCGTGTCCGCCATAGCGATGCGGAAGCGGAACAGCTGTTTGCGAAAGGGTGGCTGTGACTGGTTGATAGGGTATGAAACGGAAAGGCTTGACCCGTATGTCGCGTCATCTACCGCCAATCGAACCAACCATTTTCTTTAGGGTTGGAGAATCTTTCGAGGGTAACGTTACACGCTACGATACCGTGTTTAAACGATTTTATTTTATACTTTAACGGAGTAGAAATAATTCATTCGCAATTAACCCTAATCAAAGATGGAAAACTAACATCGGGATCTCTATCTGAAAACGTAACGAATGCTAATAATTTAATCGGTATCTTTATTCTTTTCGCCAAGATGGACAACTTGTATTCGAATACAAGTATACAATACTTTGCTTCGTTACTTTTTCGAAGCGGCGTTTCCTCGCATCTTCTCGACAATTATTTCGCTTCCTTGACAATTCTAAGCGTGACAACAAAACTAAGTTGTACGACAAAGAAGGTCGAGATCTGTCTGTCACACGTATCCTTGCATATCGTCACGTACGAACAATGTAGTTTGTTACGCGTGCAACACAACTAACATTCTAACCGCGTATTAGATAATACAAATACGTACTGGAAATTACAAAGAGTCGCACAAATATTTTATTAATCGAACAGCACATCGTTGTTTAACGATTTACAAAGTAAGTATAACGGTAAAAGTGTGTAGGAAAGCGTTAATATTTTACACGTTTCCATGCAACGTTAAATTACCTACCGATACCAAACCGTGAAAATCGGATCAAAGGGTGCATCAGATCTACTGTTGCATCGCATTCGACACGTCATGTATTCAAATGTCTCGGCTGCGATTTGTTTTTTATGCAATGCGATGCACCGTACCGCATTCCATTCTGTTGCTCGTCCGATATTGTTATTGTTACACATTATAATTAGATTTGCTACGCATCGAGAGGCATCGATTTCGATCGCAAACTTTATTATACGCTCTTTACGATCGAGTCGTACGAAGAAATGTTCAAATATATGTACATCGAACGATGTCTTTTCCTTTTAGAATACTACCAACTACCAACCCCCGATCGATCGAACAGCTGACGCGACTTATAGTCGCGACTTCTTTTCGAACGTCGAATCGACTGAATCGTAAACCCTTCGTAAACCCTTTTTACTTCCGAATAAAGTAGAAATTCTTAATTTTTTTTCATTTTTCACGCGTATCAAAACTTTAGTACCGTTTAAGCGCGTTTAAGCGAATGGACGGGGCGCGTTTAATCGGGTTACGGTACTGTAACCGTACGCGTAGCGTAATACGTGTATGTACAGTCCCATTCACTTCGGGCGGCGCACTTTTTCGCGCGTAGATTTTATACATATAAGTACGTACACATAATACGTTGGCGCGCATGCACGCGCAAATATGAATGCGCGACCTTGTGTGCGCAACAGGCGTTAGGATCCAAGCAGAGTTCATAAAGATTGTACGATGAAGCGTACAAGTACGCGGTGCCCCTACTTCTGTAGGAACAACCAGTGTTTGCGACAGTAGCGTAATTACTTCCGCAAGTACCAGCTTCTTAACGAAATTATTCACAGTTTTAGCGTAAAAAATAAAAAGAAAGTAAGACTAAAGTAACAAATTCATGGAAATTCATCGTAGCGCGTTATTCTATTACGATAGATTTGATTATTTTGCTATGCGAAATTGTCGGTCGAAGCATTGTTTCGACGAAATCAACGCTATACTTTGTTCGCTCTAGATTACCAAATAATTTCCATTCACCGAAAACTGAACGAAAGCTGATGAATTGTCCGAGTTTAATGTCTCAAGTACATGTGCGTAATAGTCGAACGATCGAGTATTTTGACGCCCCGAAAAGAGCGTCCTCGACGACGCCGACGTCGGCCCTGTCTCGTAGTCGCGTACTCTGTTATAAAGGGAAGCCACGCGAGAGCGCTCGGCGCATACCACGGCAGCGCGTCGTTGGAACCTCAAGCTTTGAATGCCGTTACGAGGCTCGCGGTTCGCGTCAATTCGAGGCCATTGAAACTCTGCGTGTATAGCAGTTCCGAATAAATTTCGGTAGTAAATTTCGATGGTGCGCGAGCCATTCGCGATGCGCAACAGACGCGAAAGCCAGTTGGTGATCGAAGCGCGTGCACAAACTCCGCGGAAACAGTGAAAGACGAGAGGCGAGAGACGAAGGACGCGAAATCGGACCGTACTGGAGTCGACCGGACCGGACCTGAGAGGAGCGGAGTAGAGCAGAGCAGAGCCGAAGCCGAGCACCGTCATCGCGCCAGTCAGCTTGCACTTCGCTATGTGTTTACGTTCGGTTCTGTGACGTTGGAGTTGGAGACGGTCCTCTAACGCGTTCATCGAGAGTACAACGACTCTTAGGCGTGTACCATCGCGAGAACTCTGACCAGGATCTCTCCGACGTATCTCCACGGGAACACTTTCCCTACGATCTACGGTTGCAAAGTGCAACTGATTGAAAACGCCGCCGCGATTATGGTACGTACTCTGTTTCCAACCGGAATTTTTCGCACGCGATACCACGCCCGGCCCGCGGGATCGACCAACAGGTGACAACGCCTCATGACCGAGACACGCGTTCCCCTTGGAGAAAGTTCGGTTGTCCGAGATACTTTATCGAACCATCAAAGTTTATCAGCCGTCCGAAAGAAAGGACAGACGACCGTCCGCGATTGGCTGTCGTGTTAGAAACGAATTGATCCAACGACATATGTATAGAGCAGTCGAAGCGGTACGAGTCGAGTTGTTGAGCTTTGCGATTCCCCTGTCTTTTTCAAGTTTACCGTTACTCGTTATTGCGAATAGGTCGCGTCGATCGCGCACAGTCTCGATCGTTGACGCGGCCCTATGAAACAAACTGTGAAAACTACGCGGCGACTGTTGATCGATTCAAGCAAGCTACGCGAAACCACTCGTTTACGTCCACTCCAAGTACCGTGCGTAGAGCGGTTACTCGACAAAGATCGGGCATCACCGAAATCACTTGAACGCGGTGACAGACTCGCATCGTCGGTTTTCCGTGTACTCGTATATTAATCGTTTAGCTAGGTTCGCGATGACCGACTTAAGCGTCGAACACGGTACGGTATATCTACCTCTGTTCGCAGCGAGCATCGACAAAGAGGATGAACGAATCGGTGATATCGGTCCTATCCGAATGATCCGCTCGTGATCGAGAAACACGCTTGAAAATCTGGAAAAGTTCCGCGAAACGAGAAGAACGGGCGAGCATGGCATTGGCAAGGATCAAGAGTTTCATCGATACAGGCCTGAAGACGGTATCCACACCGTTGGATCGAACCGTAAACCTGGAACCGGAAGTGGGCATTAGAATCGTTCATTCGGTTAACGAGAAGACTCTGCACGTGACCGTGCTCGGTGCTCGACACTTGCCACAGAATTTCGGCTTCACTCGCGTCAACAGCTACGTTGTGAAGGTAACGCTCGCGCCGATACGCGGTACCTCCAATCTTTCGCTTCGTTATCATTTATTACGTAACGCGATGAAATCGTCGCGAGAAGCTTCCACTTTCCGCGAGTTCGCAAAATACATTTCAAACACGTTCGTATCGATCCCGTTGATCGAAACGAGCTTAATTATTCGACACTGGTTACTCGAACAACACACTATTAAAAATAGAGTTGGTTGTTTCGCATCGTTTACATGTTTCTCAACTAAATCAATTATAATTGGATACGAAACATAGAAGAAAAACGACCGATCGCGTTTATCCGTACGAATAAACAAGTAAATCTTACAATTAGAGAGATAAAGAACTCGATGACAGAAAAAGTAAGGGAAAGAAAGTAATTCGCTTGTATTTCAGGTGAAATTGATACCAGGAAAGGACAAGTTCGAGACATCGACAAAGAACGAGTCCTGGCCACAATGGAACGAGGAATTCACGTTTCCTCTACGCAAAGAGACCAAACTAAAGTTTGGCAAAACAAAGGTCGTCGAGGAGGAGATCAACGGATCTAGATTCGTCGTAGCGACTTTGTACGCGATTCTCGAGGATAAACCTTTGATAGCGACCGATAAGAAGGAAGCGGAAAAAGAGAAAAACTCGTCCCCTGGCAAAGAATCGGCAAAGAAAGCTGGCAAAAAGAAGGATGGTCAAGGTGGCTCTACGGAGAATCAAGAGCCACCGAAAAATAAGCTATTCGGTCAATTGTTCGGCAAGGGGTCCGACAAACTTCCGGAAACCACTGTCACCGAGAGGAGAATGTACGATAAAAGACGCACCGTTGGCGCGACCACTATTTCCCTCGATCCGAAAAACTTCACCTCGAAACCACCGAAACCAAAGCACCCGAGCGACGCGTCGACAGGGGACATGTGGAGACCGCTGCGACCGATCGCGAGTGGTATTTCTGGAGCCGAGGAAAGGGTAAATAAAAGATATACAGTTGTCCTGCGAGAACTTTCGAGCCCTCGAATCGCCGAAACCTCACCTCCATCTCGGCATTATCGGCTTCATACGTAACATATTCCTCCTTTCTAACGATTCTATCCGATCGATCAGACATTTTGTTCATTTGGTTTTTCTCGCAGAGGGAGAACAAAAAGGGTCAAGTGGAATTGTCGCTGTGTCAAGAAAAAAATGACAAGAAAGAGGAAAGCAGCGAACGGCTAATTTTATCTCTGCATCGTCTGAGATGTTCTTTGCAGACGATGCACGAGCACGAAGCTCTAAAGGGTCAGATGTACGTGAAAATGTCGGTGGTGGACAACGGAAGAGTCACGCACTTTTGGAAAAGCGATCGTTTCCAACCGTGCGTGTCGATGAAATTTTCACCGGATATGGCGAGAGTCGTTGCGGATAATCCGTATCAGGGAGCACTCAAAGACGTCAGCTTCGTTGTTAAGTTTGTCTCCAAGAACAAAATGGGTAAGATGGTTCGCGTCGCGTGATCCGAACGAAAATTCAACAAGATTCCATTTACCATTTCAGGCAAAAAAACAACCGTCGGTCATTTTGTAATCGGACCAGACGTAGGAGGACCCTACGGTGAACAGTGGAAACAGGCTTTAGCGAAACCGGGACAACAGATAACGAAATGGCAGCCATTCGAATAACAACGAGAGCCATTCGATCAGAGATATGTATGTCGCGACGCGTTAGCCTCGCTTCGATTTTTACTCGGCTTGGCTACTTTCGATCTACGCGAACATAATAAATATTTCAGAATACGGTATACCAGACACATATTAAGTAGAAATATTTGCTCGCTGGTACCGTTCCAAAGAATACTTATTGTTAGCCAAACGATTGCGGACACGAAATATGATGCTGGTGCATCAAGATTTTTCATACTGTTTCGTACTGTTTACATTTTTATTCTTGCTTTATTTTTACCTTTTTTTTAAGACAGATTACGAGCACACAAGTATTTTGCACATTCAACCGTGTATATAGAAATTTCAACCGTCCTTGGTTCCGAGGCACGCGGAATCCAACAAACTCGCTCTCTGCCAGGAATCCGAATAACACAACCGTCCAGTAAAATAAATAAGTGTCTGTCAAAGGAAGATACGCGAGATTTAAAGAATCCCTTAAATCGTTTAAACATTGCGTTTTCGTAATTAACGACTAACTCGTGTCGTTACCTTCAAACCAATTAACTACGTTCGATCGCAACGATAACATTTCTACGTGGAAGATACCACCACGATTCCCTTTTATAATAGAAGAACCAAACCATTTTTAATTTTCTATTAGCGATAGGTTAACGTATTTTAGAAAATTTGTAAAGAATTATTTATACCTTTCTAAGTACACACGTGTATTTTATTATAGAAATCGATTATACTAATAATAAATTAGTTTGATGTAAACAAAAAATTGTATTTACGATGTTATCGACATAGCATATATTTTCTATGTGTATCAAAGATATATTTTATATGCATTAAATAAAACACCGCTTGTTTATTACGTACGTATTATAAGTTGTACGTTGGGATGGCCGATATTTATAGATCGTCGGCACTTTTTTGCAAATTTATATAGTCTCATTCTTCGGAATGGTTCCTCTACGATACAAACTAGATAGAGACATCGGATAACTCGATAACGTGGTTTGCGAGTCTCGGAGCAATCCATTAAGTGAAATCCAACGAAAATGGCAGCCTAAAGCGAGGTTTGCTACAAGAGGTTCACGGACAACGCGAACATACGAGAATCTTCAAGTATTGGAACCAAGGAACCATTCCGGAAAGTATGAAAACAATAAATATAGACATATAAAAGATTTATTTATTCCATTTATTTATAAAGCGTAATATTTTTAATACATCTTCTTTAAGCGACACTTTTATTCTATGCATGACATAATATGTGTAAGGAAAAGATGTCGTTCGATAACTAACGTCGCTTGTTGAAAGTACATATAAAAATATAATGAACGCTATAGTTTTATAATAATACTAAGTTCAAAACTCTATAACGGACGGTATCGACAGTCTTATACGAAGCGCTAATCTTAACGATGATCGATTATATCGATGTCTTAGCATTCATCTTTTGTACTAACCAAGTATAAATTGAAAAGTAAGTATAATACAATCATACATTTTTATATTATTAAAAATATATTTCTATACGAACTCGCGATAGATTGTTATAAAATATCAATGTAAAATACCTCTAAAAAAGAGTAAAACGTTGTATTATACAATTGTTAAAAAATGTCTTAAAGGTATTCTCCTATTTGTTTCGTACTTTTTTCTAATAAGGCACAACAACAGACGCTTGTACGTATTTATAAAAAGCAATATAAATGTCCAAAGATGTAAAATTGTCGTCGAATAAGATCATGCAACGCCAACTTAATTTACACCTCCTATTCACTCGAGATTCGAATTATAATATTGTCGAAAAATCTCTCATTGGTAAGTACCAGTAGATCTCTACACCGTAAGAATATACGTTTCGATATACATATGTAGTTACTTTGTGGCGATTATGGATAATCTTTGGTTAAGTTTGTTAGGTATAAAGAAGTACGTATCGCAACGGTATTATCCCAACTATCATTAAAACTGTTAAACTCCCCTGATCGTGAGATGCCGCGTTACATCCATCTTTGCTATTGCAAGTACAATATTCCATGAATATGTTGTAAGTTCCAGTCCTCATAAGACAAAATCGTTCGTCACCTGCGATTCCTGGTTCGCCCATGTAGGCGCAACTACGAAAATACCTCCATACCCCGTTAACTGAAAAGAAAAAGAAAATTCGAAGAGTAAGAGGATATGTTAACCCGTCGTTTCAGTTATTCAACGAGTAATATATCGATATACCTTTCTGACGGATTTTACGACACATGGTAGGTCTCACGCCTGGCAAGTGTGCGAGGTCTGGTTCCTGTTTGCAATCCGTAATGGGTACGGTGGTATTATCGAAAGGGTCGGCACATTTTGGATCCGAATCCGATCTGCATACCCAGCACTTTATAGAAAATACTGTAAGAACGTACAGGATTTATTACTACCTCGATCTTACCGTTTTTTTTCTTGATAACTTAAGACTTTGCACGTGTATCGTATCGCTTCGAAAATTGTTACTCGAAGGTTAGGATTTGAAGACGAAACGATTACTTTAGTAACCGATACTTACCGTGTGGAATACAACAAAGGAGAAACAACACTGACACCAAAACACGCAAACTTATATCTCGGGTCATTATATCAGGAATAAATAATCACTTTAGGATAAATGAAAATAATTAATGTCAACACCCAATGAGTAATTACTCCAAAAAGGCCCACGCCTACTTACGCCTACGACTGACGACCACGCCACGCAACTACGCAACTGAACTCTCTACGAATACAATTCTAATACTAGTGGCGCCATCGGTGGCGAAACGCCCAAGTTTGTCGAGAAATAGTTTCAGTTTTTCACCGCTAGATGATACAACAACTTGAAAGCCTGATGAAAAAGTTAAATGCAAAAAAACATTACTTGAACTTAATTTAATAATGACTCTAAATTCTACGATGCCCTAAGTATAGTTAAACTGTCATTATTTATAGTATTGCAGATGTTTTCGCGAATATTAAATATTATTAAAATGCACGTAGCGGTGGCGCCATCTCTCACTAGACATCTCAAGTTTGTCGAGAAATAGTTCTCCCTTCTCATCGCTAGATGGCGCCACTCGTTAAAGAAAAAATTAAAAGTCAAAAAACCTTATCCTAGTTTGATTTTAATGTGGTTTAAAGCTCTGTTATGCTAGTAGTATAGTTAAATTTTTATTATTTAATTTAATAAAACAATTTATCTAAATATACTGTTATGTCGGTATTTAGTGGCACCTTGGTGGCGCTCTCTAGTGGTGAAAAACTGGAACTATCTCTCGACAAAATTGGGCGTTTCGCCACCGATGGCGCCACTAGAACTAAAATAAATATTAAAATTCAATATTTTTAAAAATTATTTATTGGCGTAATCACACATGCGCTAAACATTTTATTATTTTTTACACTCATTATTTAATTGTATTTAAAATAATAAGTACATAAACTGCCTAAATTGTTTGTAGAAAGTCAATAAACAATCGAATAAATGTGGCCAGTCTGGGACAACTACACTAAAAACACTTTTAAGAGAGATATATTTAGGAAATGTTTATAAAGAAACCATATTTCAATCTTACAGTATGTTTTATTGAGGATATATACAAATAAATCGTCTCTGCGCGCCAGTACGTAGCGTTTAAACAGCGTGCACACAGCTTAAACACGAAAGTGTTTCGACAGTGGAAACGATTAAGCTTTTACAGCATCAACCTGCAGATCTGCCGAAACACTTTCGTGTTTAAGCTGTGTGCACCGCTTTACTGGTGTGTTACTTGTTAACACTTGACACTAAGTCGTTTTGCAAAAGTAAATCTTACAGTTATACCTATGCTATGCTATGTATATGAAATATTTGTAAAATATAAAATTCCTTGGTAGCACGGGACCACTGTTATATTTATTCAACTCCTTGCTTTGTTTTGTTTTTCACCAGAAATATTTGAGGATAGAATTTCTGTGTATATGAGTCGCATGCGTTCCATGTAGAGTACGCGTCGGCGCCGGCGCCGCTAGTATTAAAGCCAGTATCGGTATGGTTGAGTAATTGGAGATTCAAATACGAATGTTAATGATTCTATCGGTGCATCACTGTAGAATCGATTCGCTTTTGCGGGTGGTCCGTGACCGGAACGAAGGGCAATCGAGTCCTGGTGAAACATTTGAATGTTATAAATAAATATAAATAAATTGGTTTGCCGACATTAACATAAGTAGCTGGAACAAGCCTCGACTCGTGGCCCACTCGCGACTCCCGTCTCTTTGCTGTCTACCTCCCATTCTCTGTTGCACTCGCGAGAAAGGACGTTGATTTATACTCGATGTCCCTTTAGGTTACCGAGGCATTCGCCGTTCTACCGTCCTGCCATCCCTTTAACTTAAAAGGACACGGGAATACAATCTCGAGGGATCTCGTCTCGCGGTTGTACGCGTGGAAATTAATCTCGAAAACATGCGATCTTGCCTCTCTATAAAACAAGTTATTTGATCGATCCAACCGTGTACTTTTTATGACCAACGGTTTCTTCGAGATTGCGATCGATGCGTCATCGAGACAAAGAAAACTCTGAAAAAAGTTCATCTTTGAGCAAACATTGTCGCGCGTCCGTCGTTCGCTAAATACATATCTATCGACGTAGAACCGTGCCGGTACCCTCTATCTATCGGATAGTCGTACCCCACCACGGTACCGCCTGCAGAATCACCCTCCACTTCCGCTTCGCTTGGTATGGTAGCCACTCCTCTCAGCTCTCAGCCTCCGTTGATACTTGCTCGCGCGTGTATCTCGTCAGTCGGCTCGGAGCCACGTGCGTGTGCTCGAGAACGAGAAGGTTCGATACGAGATACGAAATACGAAATACGAAATAAAGTCGTGATTGAGGCTGCTCTAGACCCATACCAGACTTTCTGCTTGATAATTAATCGCAAGTTTCCCGAGCCGAAGCTACGAACAGACGCAAGTTTCTGGTCGCTTCCAGCAGATATATCCGTTTAGCCAGGTCTCGATCGTTACGGGTTCCGTTACGTGCGAAAAATCTAAATCGATGGCTTGGAATGGAAAAACGATCGAACGATGCGCGAGTGACAATTTGTTAGAATCGTTGAAATCACGGTGATCTCCTTGACTTTGTCTTCGTGAGCGAAAGAGACAGCCAGGTTTACCGTAAACGTGAAAGAACCGAATTGTATTATAGAGCGTAACTCGGCGACGCAAAGTGTTCGCGGTAATACGTACCGATTCGTCTGTACGATCAGCGAGAACGAACCGCACCGTCTCGACGGTGCATCGTCTCGCGTTTAAAACAACCAGGAAACCAAAACTCGTAGACAGATGGTGGAAGGAAGCAGAGTGTACTAAAAATATCGGCCGTTGGCACACCGTTGGCTCGCTGTACTTCAACTCGAACGATCTCAACGGCTGGAGAACCAAGGTTTCCATGGTCGAGCGTCGTCTTTAATCACTCTGAGAACTTCCAGGCGCTAGTCGCTCAAAGGGAGGATTCTCGATGTTTTACGGTCTATTCCCCTGGCGGATCTCGATGCTAGTTCTCGTAATTGAACGTTCATCGGATTCCTAATAATCGATAGATATTAAGAAAAATAATGGTAATCGTATAAAACGAAAAAAAAGTTGACTCTATCGTATCGGATTATCAGGCTTGATAAATAGTTGCGTTGTCGCAGGTAAACTCGAAGTTGTTTGGTTGGTTGGAAAGCGATAAGATGAGCAAAGTGCGCAAAGTACGCGTTCGTTCGTTTCGCGTCATCGGAGAAATTCAACTTTATGGAAGTTTGATTTGTCGAGAATAAATCGTGATTCTCGAGGAAACAAGAGTGATATACTAGCGTATCCACTTTCGCAGTGTTACATAAACAAGTATAGCGTAACTAGCGTATACTCTACATATAACTCTAGCAATTACTTTGCGCCGAGGCAAAGTAATATGTATCCTCGAGTCTTTTCACCAGCGGCGCGGCGCAGCGCGGCGTTGTCTCACTCTGTTCTCCTTGTTTCTCGCTCGATCGTCCTACCGTAATCCTACACACCCAGCTACTTCCGTTCGATTCATCGATTTGTCGCGGCCGCGGCCGCGGCCGCAACGATCGCGTGTACCCGTTCGACCGAATAGACTTTTGTAATAGAAGAAGAAGAGAATCGAGTAAAATACGAATAGGTGTAAGAATGCAGGTACGATTGTCGTATGCCTAACACTAATAGAAGAAAGGGAGAAAGATTGGGAAAAGTGTCGCGATAAAAGTGTTGGTACGAGCAGCACTTGGACGAGCCACTTCAAAGTTCACGGTCCTCGTGTTCCTCGCGAATGATGCGCGACTATCGTCATCGGGGGAAGCGATTTTAGCCCCTGTTCGAGGTCGAGTTCTTTCACTCGTGGTGTTTTACGGCGCGCAGCGCGGTTGTTTGAAATTCTTCGCGCAGAGTCGCGACCGTATTTATAGACCCGCATCGAGTGTGTACGCACTCGCGAGTTGACGCGCGTAGAATCACGCGCACACCTCCTCTCGAAGAGGCTGGAGGAAGTCAGAGGGAAAAAGGTAGAGAATCGCGCAGAGAGAGAGAGAGAGAGAGAGAGAGAGAGAGAGAGAGAGAAAAAAAGAGACGGAAGAGCTGCACGAAGGGACAAACACGCGGCACGTCGCGATCATGAAGCGATGCATCCGCGACAGGAGCACCGGCCCGCTTCGTCGTCGAGCACGTCCTCGGCGTCGTCGAACTGTCTGCGCTGGTTGCCCCCACTGGGAGGCCTCGATTCACCGGGCATGATCGCCCAGCTGCCAGGGACGAACGCACACTTTGCCGTCGTCCTTCTACTTCTGACCATCGGAACTGTCGTCTGCGTCGACGGCACCTCGGTGAGTACCTTTAACGAGTACCCTATGTACCCTAGTACCGGCCGGGCCTCGAGACGCGACGTCCCTTTGCCAAATATGCAAACCGTATACCCTCGAATATTCCGTATAGTTTCGATTGGAATGTTTGCTTTCGATGAAACTTTTCAAATACAACTCTATTTCTCTGGGGTCTCGAATAAACGTTTAATCCACCGGAGACCATCGGTAGTTAATAGTTAACCATAGTATATTCGAAACAATTCACTTTCTAAATTTTTACAAGTTTTCGAACCTTTCCTTTTTCCACGTTCAATGCAGAACTCGACGCTACAACGGCAACGATCGAAAAGAAACACAGTTCGATAACAGTTGCATTCGCTCGTGCTCCGTTCCGTTACCATTAGTTTCACTTTCAGCGAGGAAATCGGATCCAAAAATATCGTATCCATGGCGTGCACGCGCAATTGAGCAAGCGTCCAGCGTAAAATCTTAATAAACGTCGGGAAAAAGAGATAGCCTATCGAACGCATACTAATCTGGTTAATTAAGGATAGGATAGCTACATATCGGCGAGAGCCGTATTTTTCATGGAGATCGATAGCATTCCGGGACGTCGTTAAACGGAAAAGATTTTCGCCTCGCCTCGCCTCGCCTCGACGCATACACCGAATCGACAATTCTTTCCACCGTTTCGACGTGTTTCGCGGTTGCGACCGCGATATTATTGGCCTAGCGAATCGAGTTACCGAGCACGAGGATCGCGGCAGATCGATCTCAACGATCGTAAACTCGTTTAGTAGGACAAGACAGGATATTACGCGTGCGCGCCATAATATCGATATTTATCGTGCGCGTGATTCTCAATATTTTAAGCGTTTCGATTACGCGTACCGTATCCACGGGAATCCGAGCGCACGTGCACGCTTCGGCGCAAACCTCGACCTGGTTGAAAAACGTGCCGGCGCGGCAGTTTGCATACATTGCTCGAATTCGGCGAACAGATGTACGACACGCGCCTACGAAACGAGCATCGAATGGAAAACTAAAAATGTCCGTTTAACCGTCGCGTCTACCCGTTGAAACGGACGCGACGCCGACGATACGGACGGACCCTTTCAACATTTTTCAAAGTTAAACTTTAAACAGACTCGAACCTATTAGTTTACGGGCCGACCCTTAGTTTGAGATCAACGATTAACGTTGGGGCAATAGCTGTGAGACACGACGGGCCACAAATAGAATTCCTAGACCAGCGTATGGTAGACACGCGTTTAGAGATCTAGTCTACGAACGTAACAATCTCTCTCTCTCTCTCGCGCGCGCGCTCATCGACGATACGACGCCGACGTTGTTCCGCAAACGTTCATCCAGGTGAGAATCGAAGCGATAAGGTGCCGTAACCGTGACACGTAACATCCAGATAAATTATCGAATAGTTTCGAAATGTACGCTGTATCGCTTGAAAGTCTGCGATTAGCGTAAGAATCGACGATTCAATTTCTCGTATTCAATTTGAATTTTTCGTATGAACCGTTACAGACTATGCGCATACCGTTGCCAAAGCCTTGCAGACCGTTACTCATTGTTAGACTTGACTTTTTTACGAGAATGGACGAGGTCAGCTACTAACATCGTCCGATGGGAGCTGGAAAAAACTCGGCGGACTTACTTCAGCTCGTATGAACCTACCAAATTCGCTGGCCGCGTCAGAGTCGACACGTCTCGTTCCGTCGAGTGACACGTTGCAGGGCGGCTCTGACCGTTGACACCGTTGACATCGTTGACAGCCCCCATACACAACCCCATACAGGGCTTAACGCTTCGAAAGTTTCTAATCGTTTCCAAATAGGTATGCGACACCAGGAAATATTAGAGTCTGATTTCAGAACTTGCATCTGGAGATCTCGTGTTACAAAACGAAATTTTTCGTTCCTCGAACATCTTCCCGCCAGTCGGACGTGTTTATATTTAGGACGTCGTTTCTGTTTCGATCGTGATGTTCTCGCGCGCGAAACTCTTCGCATCCACTTCGACGCGTAAAATCTATTGTAAATACATACAATACCGTGCGTCTGTCGGAAATCTCGCGAGAGCAGGATCGCGAGGCCGGAAAAGGGCGGAAAGGACGACTATCCCTATCGGATGGAGGATAAGAGATCTTTTATTCGAGTTCCTCCCTTCTCGTTGTTCGTCGGTTGGTTAAATGAACGCTAGAGCCGATGATAGACGAATGGTTGGACGAATTTTCATCGTCTCGCGTAGTACCGAGAATGGCCTTTGGTTGGCGTTTGGTTCCTTTGGCACCCCGTGGAGATTCTTTCTCTCGCGGTAGCTCGATTAGCTTCTTACCGGGTATCGTGGCGACTATTGCGTGGAATTACAGTCCGTTGCAGCTCAGAAAGTATGTTAACCTCGCGACGGGTAAAAAGTTGTCTTCGCAACGGGGAGGAAAGAAAGAGGGTACCAACGAGGACGATCAGAATGAAGAATCGCGTCGCGTAGAGTTCTTCTGGGTCGCGTCCCGCGATCGAGCCGATCCCATTCGACTCTCGCAGCTTGTGAATCGTTAAAAGCTGAAACGATTCGCTCTCACCCCCTACTCCGTTGCTTTTCCTTCACGTTTCGTTTTGGTATTCCAGCCGATTGTCATTCCATTGTCCCGCACACGGAGAAACGGAGAACCGGTAAACAGTGGACGATTCCACGGTCGGCCTCGGCTGTGGCTGTCTCGCGAAAACTTGGAGCGATTGCGAATCAATGAAAAATGATCTCGGAAAAAGATATCCAAGTAAACGATATATGTAGAGCGATTAAAAACTCGGAGCACGGGTTGAACATTTCCTTTATTGTTAACCGACGCCCTACCACGTGACATTGTACCTTTACTTGGAGGTTTAGCAATATAGCAATCATTCGGCAAGAAGTAGAAAAACCTATCGGAACAAGTTATTCCGGTATAACTTGCCCGCGTACAAACAACTGCCCCATTAATATTGTGTATTAAATACAACTCGTTTTCCGTTCCACCGACTCGACGATTCTCGCGAATCGGATAACATGTTTTCCAAACGGAGCAATTTTGCCATGCTTGGTCAAGTCGGAGACTACGTTTTCGAATATATCATCGGCCGCGCCGTTCGCTGCTTATCGACCTCGTTACTCTCTAACGTTCTTCTCCTTTTATATGCGAAACAGCAAAATTGAATTTCATTCGTCTCATCGGTTTCACAAAAGCTAACAATGAGACAGGAAAATACAAGTTGCGGTGACCCGCGTTTCATTAGAGCCAGCTAGCGTGGGCGGACAATCGCGTTATGCTCCTCATTGGACAAGGAAGACGGTAAATCACGCGATGATCTCATCATGGTATTAAGATATCGAGAGAGAAAGAGAGGAGAGAGATAGGTGTCGAAGTTGCAGGAGACGCAATAAACAAGCGACCGCGCTACCGTGACTCGTAATAAATTCCGTGGGAGTCTCTTACAACTTACAACCGACACACGCGTTCAAGGATTCCGTGGCGGAATAAAGAACAACGGGGTAATGTTTTAGGGTTATCGTGTATACGCTAAACGAAAATAGACTGGTTCGATAGATCGATTGGCAAAATTGGAAGGTATTAGAAAGGAAAGGAAAGGAAAGGAAAGGAAAGGAAAGCAAAACAAAGGAAACCGGCATGTTCATTCGCGAAATTCTCACGAAGCGAACATACAGAGCACAATTTACGCCATGTCCCGCCACGGCCTGAGACGTCATCCTGACCATAGTAGGTGGACGAAGACCTTGGCCTTCGGATTGCTCGCACGAGGACATAAATCAGACCGCGGTCTCGCCATAGCAAGCGTTCCATCGACCAGGAGTCTCTGTATTAAATCCATGGTAGTCCACCATCGAAGAAATCTCCGGCCATTTTCGGACGTTGGATACTCCGACCGACGCGCTACCATTTACGGTATAGTCGGGGCGTCGATACGCGAAACGAATGTCATCGCTTCCGAACCTTATCCATCTTCTTTGGCGTCGTGGCTATACGGTCCGGAAACCCTAGCCCTTTCCATTGCTGCTCGGGAATCCGTTTTTTTACGTTTCCCGCTTTTTATCGGATCTTCTTTGCGACGCGACGAGTTACCGCTTCGTTGACTATTTTGGGCGAAAATGGTTTCATCGTTATCCGTCGCATCGCATCGCATCGCATCGCATCGCATCGCATCGATTATAGAAGAAAAAGATAATAAACCATTTTGCGAAAAAACTGTTACGCATACATAAACTACAAAGAATCGTGCACAGGTGAACGCGACGCCTGGCCCGCTCCGGCCTTTGGAATGTATGTTGGTAGGGTGCCATTCAGGGATGCCAACGATTTGAATGCGAAACGGTATTAAACCTGCATACGTAATGTCGGTGAATCATTTACGGCACGGCCCTCGAGAACTCTCGGAACGCTGCAAATCGAATGCGCAAGTTTTACTCGCCGTAATGCCCGTCTCTAACAGACTTGGGGACACTTTTTTAGAACCTATCCCCCTATATACCGACACGCACTTTTTCTCAAAGATTTTCGATGACGCGATGGGCCAATTCCCTCTCTCCGTGTTCATCCCTTGGAATCGCTTCCCCTTTACAAGGCACGCGGTTTTTGCGACCATGTTAGGGAGAAAGGTGGTACTCGAGCTTAGTTTGGCCATGTCCAGCACACAGCCCACAAATTCCTCGTCTCTTTTACCTGACCTCGCGCCGAGAAGACGAGCCCTTCTCCTCGCTCGGTTATCGACTCTTCCTTGTTGTTCTTTGGCTCGCAAGAGAAACGACAAATTAGGGCTTCGATGGCACAAGGTTGCGATCATTGCGTTGCAGCGTCTACGATAAGTAAAATGGTAATACTTTCCTCTACTCGCGCAATCAAACGAGACGATGAGGTAACGGTCGCGAGTTTCGCTTCCCATTGTCTAGGATAATGAGCGACGTGGGCTGTTGAACACAGGGTGTCAGAGTGCAGATCCATTTTTGTTGATCGATCACGTTGTCGCCGCCTCTGTTCGGCAATCGAAAATTCTCGAGAAGGCTAAAAGAGCAGATTCGCGAGTGCGATGTGCGCGTACAGCACGTAACGTGCGCGAACACAGTAACGCGTATTGTGTAACGCGCGATTAGTGATGCCTGCGCCGCGCCGCGCCGCGTCGCGTCGTGGTTAGGTCGCGATGCCATTTACGAGCCGGCAAATTGAGTTTAGTGCTGTAGCCGCGTGCTGAGCGTTACAACCTTGGTGTACCATCGGCAACGACTGGTCTATTAACTCTTTGCTTAAGAACGAGCAATTGATGTTCTTTTTCTTTTTTTTTTTTTCATTTTAGAGTGGAAGCAAAACACTCCTGACCGATGGAAACAATAATGCAAGTTGGCTGCGCGTAAATCTGCAGGATTACGTTGGAGAACACGTGCCAACAAACAGTACGTTTTTTTCTTTTTTCAATTTATTTATACTTTGTATTTTGTTTTCGACGTTTTAACTTGCAATTCCTTTACGATACCACGAAACGTGTTTTTACGATAATGCATGCGAAACAACGCGAGAAACACAAAGATTCGTGTAACAAAAACGTCGTTGTATTTACTTTTCGCAGAATCCACGAAACTATCACTTTTTACAAACTGGAGCGAATGGTCGGTGTGCGACCGACACTGCACCCAAAATCGCGTTCGAAGGTGTCGAACGAAAAAGAAATGCGGCACCACGATACACAGAGTGAGTTCGCGAATCGTTATTTACACGTCGCGTTAACGTTTACGACACGTTTACACGATTAAAAGTAATTTCTTGAATATCGTACAGGAGGAGCGCACTTGTCGGCACGACAAAAAGAGTAGATGGGGACGATGCAAGCAGCGGCAGAGGCGAGGCCATAGGCGAAAGAACAGGTTCCATGTAGTACAAGTGAGATTGTAAATACGATAGTTTTGTCTTTGAATATTTTTCATCGCATTTTTATGATTCTCGATCGGAGGATTCAATTTTACTTTTCGTTTTGTTTGTTTGTTTGTTTTTAATCTAATACGTGACAGTATCGTTAAAAGTTGTCGGCAACTTATTTGTAAAAGTTTTCTACGACGTTAGTTGCCTAAGAAGGAAGCAGAACCTCGGCAAGGGGAACGAAGAGGCAAGAATGCTAAAGAGAAATCCGTAGGGCATTACGGGAAATGGAGTAAATGGTCACCTTGCACGAGGCTGTGCACTACCCAACGACATAGGTAAAATTCTTCAATTTCAACGATACCTTTCAACTTTGAAATAACGATTAAACGTTAAGATCGGCACGTACAGAAGCTATAGTAACACCGAGTGTTTACTACCTATAGATAGTAGATATTTGAATAAGAGGAAACTCGACAGGGATGAAATTGTATTCGAGATCTTTTTACGTTTGTCGAAGGTGGTGCAAGAGACCTGGAATTTGCGGACGAGACGTGATACGAGAAACTGCGTATTGTTACGTAGAGGGTAGCTTCTGCCAAAGATGGATACATCGAAAAATTAGGGGAAACCAAGAAGAGGACAGCGATGGTGAGTCTCTGCGTTCGTACAAACTTAATTAATTTTCCGGAAAAATTCAACATCGGATCTATTGGTTGTTTAGACATGGTATTGGACGAGTTCGAGTTGAATCCCAACACCGTCGACAGTTTTATCCCCGAGAAAAGTGCGCACGCTTGGAAATGTGGACTCGCGAATCCTCCAAAAAATTCTCGATTGTCGTACTTTACGAGAATTATCGGTGGACGTCCAGCGACACGGGGTAGTTGGCCCTGGCAGATCGCCGTTTTAAATAGATTTCGCGTAAGTTGTGAAACTTAAAAACATTCTTTATCGATCGGCAATAATATTTGATGGGAAATTTCCCATTTCCCCTCCTATTTTCATAGGAGGCTTTTTGCGGAGGTACTTTGATCTCGTCGAGATGGGTACTGACGGCCGCGCATTGCATCAGAAAACGTCTATACGTTCGTATCGGGGAACACAATTTGACGGTGAAGGAGGGCACGGAATTGGAGCTGAGGGTATTTATCGCTCGAACGCTATCGCGCTCGAATTTATGTAATTTACAATTTACGATATTCTATTCTAATATTTCCAAAGTTCGATAGCTACTTTGTGATAATATAATAATAGCTTTAATAGGCTGATACGATCAAATTTGGTTTTCCATTCAGGTGGATTCAGTTACGATACATCCCGAGTACGATGCCGATACCGTGGATAACGACGTTGCAATGTTGCGTCTTCCAATCGCATTGACCGCGTCTCCTTCGAGAGGAATTGCCTGTCTTCCCGCGCCTAACCAACCTTTACCCGCCAATCAGCTGTGTACCATCATCGGTTGGGGAAAATCCCGAGTCACGGATGATTTTGGAACAGATATTCTTCACCAGGCTCAGGTATGTCGCGTCGACGTCGGCGTCGGCGTCGGCGTCGTCTCCAACTATAGAATTATTCATTTTTAAACGAATCAAATTTAAATGCGCTTTCCAAGCGGCTGGCTAACAAAAATGAGTTTCCTATTTCATTGTTTGATTATTTATTCTAGATACCGATAGTGTCCTCGGAAGCCTGTCGTGACGTATACGTAGACTACAGAATCACGGATAACATGTTCTGCGCCGGTTATCGTCGCGGAAAAATGGACTCGTGCGCTGGCGACAGCGGAGGTCCGCTTCTTTGTCGAGATCCTAGAAGGCCCGATCATCCATGGACCATTTTCGGTATCACCAGTTTTGGCGAGGGATGCGGAAAGCGGGGAAAATTCGGAATATATGCTAGAATATCCAATTATGTTCGCTGGATCACTAGAGTGATGAAGGAAATGGACGAGTTCGCGTAACCATGTACGGACATGTGTGCGTTCTATTGTACAATAGTATCCAATTGTTGTGGGGTGTGGTCCATGTTAGCTACTCGTACACGCGCAAACTTTACAACGATATGTAACCGTACGTAACTTTAAACGCGTCAAGATCAACTACAGAAATTATTTTAGCAACAAGAAACAATTTTTCACCAATCAAATTGTTCCGTTGTGTTTTTTTTTTATAATTAACATCGTTTATCGTTAGTTATCTATGAATTTAACGCATTAACATTTCGTTCAAATCGATAAGCTAAAGATACCGACAAGATCGGATAGTGGAGGTAAGGGTAGAGGGTTATATACTCCTGCAATCTTATATTCTGAACTTTTTATTCAATTATATACGAAACTTGATGCGAAAAATCGTGACATACACAAATTGTGCAACTCGACTGTTTTTTCTTGATCTTGAAATTAACGGATGAAAAAACGTAACGTCGGAACGAGAAAGAAGAAAAGACATCGTCCCGAACCCTTTGCACCGATAATCTATTAGAATCCGTAGAATCTAAGCATTACGTTTCGCTGAACAGCAAATTGATAAAGAAAGGTGAAAATAAAGGGATGCCGCTGTGATAATTCACGAGATATAAGAGCTTCTCTGGATGCTGCTATCACGGACGATACATCGCGATATATTCGTTTGTTTTCAGTGAATAACAACACCCTTAACACTTCCGTTGGATCGCGAACCGTCTCACAATCAGTTGAACTTGCATTTCGAAAAGTCCATTTCAGGATGCTGTTCCATAAATCTGGAACATAGAACCGAATCATTTCTAGATGTCTATCGGCTGGAAATTGAAAATGATGTGCGCATTGTTGCAATTCTTTTAAAGTCCCTACTTTTTAATCACATCCTGCTTCTTTTGCTCGTCGGAAGTTGGCAGGCCTAGCTCTTTTTGTCTCTGATCGTACATCATTTTCTCCACGAGACCTCTGGTTTCACCGTCCAGATCGGACAGTTTGCTGGGTTCCGGGTTCACTTTTTTCGTGCTGATTTCTGGATCGCTAGTTACTATGTGCGCCCACCATTGCATTTTGTTTACCTGAGAGAAAGACTGGTCGCTTGTACTCTTTTTCGTTGGATAAACCGAATTTACAGAAAAGTCTGAAAAGGTGCTCTCGGGTGCAATCACACCTAGTCAGTGTACTATTAGTTGTTAGTATGTGATTGGTGATGAATAGCGCAATACGAGCCGTACAAGTATCGTAAATGTTTGTCGAAACTTTTAATTTAATTTAATTTAAATAAGATCAAGTGTTTTCCGCGATACATTATCTTGATGGTTCAGTGCCAAGTCAGAGTGAACTGTTCGCAAGGACGCGAAAAATACGATACCTACCAGTGATGCGCTGCACGCGACTCACCTTTTCCAAGTTAAGCAGCATCACTTTGCCGTCTTCGATAACCCAGGTGGATTCTTCGACTTTGACCTCGTGCGGAAAATCGTCGTCGATTATCGGTGGTTGACCTTTTATACCGAGAGTCAGGTGCTTTTTCGTGATCGACACCGAAACGTCTTTAGGTCTAACCGAGAAATTTACTTTCAACGGCACTCTAATCTGAAATCAAACAATGTTTCCATTTCTAAGAGGTGTTTCTCATAACAAAATTAATACATTTATTTAATCTAAAGAGAAGTATATTTTTTCGGTAAAGCGCTGCGTCGCGTACTACGTGGTGACGATCCGTTTAAAATACGCTCATAGAAATGATGCCAGCACCATCAGCAACTCGATTCGTTCGATCGATGAAAGGATCGTTGTTCCGCGCGAGTAATCTTTCAGTTCTTCTTACGATTGCGAATCATCGTGCTCCAGTTCTCTACGACCTCGCGATTCGAAAATTCGCGGTGTAGCCTCGACGTCGCGTCGGACCTTGGATAATTTACAAGTTGCGAGCCTGAAGCAAGCTTCCCCCGACGAAAAGAAAAGTTGGGTCAAAGGTTACGAATTCTTCGGTGAGCGGACGCTCGCGTTGGTATCGACCATACTTGTATGTAGTTCGAGAAGGGATCCTCCAGGCAAGACGAGCTCCGCGAATTTCATACCGTCTATCACGTAGCGTGGAATTAAATATTCATGAAAAAGATGAAAAAATATCGTTACGAAAGGTGCTGGGAATGGAATTTGAATAGCAAATCGAAGCAAAAGCATAACACGTAACTCGATAACCTTAACGAATAGTATAGCGTAGACGCACGATAACCGTGGCGACCGCTCGTTCGTATCGCCTTCCAACTTTCAACAGTTGACAAAAACGGTAGATGATCGCGATCGAGGAAAGAATCGACGCGTGGGATCGTCAGTCTCGTGCTCGACGAGTTTTTGAATTTCCAGCATGACGGAGACGACCACGACGACGATGATCGTAGCCGCGTTCACCGATGCGTGGAAACGGATCATGGCTACCGAGTTTCTACCCGTCGCGCGTCGGCGTCAGCGTCGTTAACAAAGTGGAATATCGTCGTACAAAGGAATGACAAAGAGGTCGGGAAGATTGTTTCGCTTTTATCCTCGATCTCTTAGCCGACGCGCTGAACTAGACTGTAACTCGCGTGTGTGTGAAGATTTGGACGAGAAACGCAACACTCGTCGATTACGAGCGATCGTAAGATATTTACCAGTGCTTTGATACAATTTCAATAGTCGGTTACAACTTGTTTACTTTTGGTTTAAGACTGTTCACACCAACATCAATTGTACATAGAGTTATACTCGTTGGTCGTTTCATCATTTCAATTACTATTATCGCTCCCTTTAATCAAATCTTTTCGCGATTCCCAAGCATGTTAGAGATAGACGGTTGCGCGGAGCGTATCCGAGCCATGCACGATCGTTCGAGGCCCCAGGAGTTGTGCAATTCTCGCGTTTCTTCCAGCTGTAACCACTCCAACTTCAACTCCAACATTATACGCACGCAGTCTGCCCATATGCACGCGGCTTAGCGTCATTATATGTATATGGTTATCGCTTACGGAGAATTGCAGCGATACGATGGAGACGCCATGCTCCTCGCGCCTTGGACGATTTACAGCCCGGAGAGTAGGAGATCCTGCAATTTTCAATCGACGCTCCCTAATGCCCATTATCCCCATCTCTAGGTAACGAGATTGGAAGGCAAATAGCATTTCGACGACAAACTATCCGAATAGTAATGTATCAGAGTCGTACGGTGCGGTAATTGCATGCAAATTTCTCGCCGATCTAATCCGACTTAATCTTGATTTCTCTCGATCTACGATGTATTCGAGGACGGATATCGCGGTTGCTCGACAACAATAAATTCCTTCTGTAGAGAAAACAATTAAGGATGCAACGATGTGTCAGAGTGAGTTACCTACCGCGCTCCTGAAACGTAGCCTTGAATTTCAGAGAACAAAGGGAGTTATTACGTTAACGAAATGTCAGTATACGAGAACGCTCTACCATCGACGTCATCGTTAGGTACTTTACTTAAAATTCTGTTTGAAATGCGAGTTGGAGTCAGTTTTCCAATAGCTTGGTAGATTGCTGGAAACACGAGCAAGGATACCGATCGACAAGTACCAAAGCGTTGCCGTTGCGAGCTATGGATTACGGGTTACGCGACGCCAACGTTTCGAAAAAAAGTTGTAAATTTTCGTCCACGTCACACAAACGAAAGTCGTCGCGTCATCGTGGCACATAGGTCCGTTCAACGTCCGATACTCGAAGGTTGCAGCGACGGGAACCAAATTATTTGGCGCTTCGCCGAAATCCTTGATAATCGAGATTGGCGCCTGTACTCTGGCACGCGTTGCGCAATCGAATAGTTTGTTCGTTACTCACTACGTCGAATAACGTGCTTTTAACGCAAATAACGAGACACCCTTAACCAAAGGTCCAGAGGTCGTGGTTTCCCCGCGAGTCGATCTACAACCATTCTTCGCTGCTTCTCGCTCTGCTTATTCATTGCAATGTTTGCAACGAGAATGAGTTGAACGAAGCGGAATCCTTTCACGGAAGAAGAGAACGCGATAAATGTAAACGGACAATGAGTCCAGACGCGTATCGTCATCCCCTTATCACAGCGATCGTTAGATCTCGCTTCGTCCAATTTCATTTCATTTCATTTCATTTCATTCCATTCCATTCCATTCAAGGTAATCGGCCGAGTGCTCTCGAATGACGAGGAGCATTTGCATTTATCGTGAGACAATCGTTTCTGCGGTCTCACGGCCGATAACGAATTCACTGGTGCGTCGCGAGTTCTTTGCATTACAGTGTTGTTTGCAGCCACGGTGTGCTTTCCTCTTCGAAGGTCTCGTTTCTAAATCGCATCAACTTCTCGCTATTTTACACGTCAACTGGTACACCTCTGGTGAACCGGGTTCTCGTTCTGGTACAGATGGGTTATGGAAACGGGATGTCTGTTCGATCTATGTGCGCGTTGTGTGCTCGTAGACGGGAATAGAATCCGAGAAAACGGAGGACAGGAAAGATCGATGAGCTTCGCTGCGTTCGACTGCACGGGTGTTCGACACAGGTGCGGTAGGTGCGCAGGTGAACACCACGATTCTACGAAAACACGTGCACATCGTGAACAGCGAGGATCCAGAGAGGAGGAAAGAGGTAAGTAGAAAGATGAGAGGCCCAGATAGAAGCGACGCGTGCGCCTATGCATCCGGCTTAAGCAGGACGTATACCGATATATCGGTAGCATGGTAGTTGAGCGAGGAAATCGTGCTCTTTACCTAACTCGACGATTATAGAGTTCGTACCGACCAAGAGAAATAAAATATAGTTTGGAAGAAGAGGCTTACCATCGAATACTTGACACATACCATGATACCAAACGACGTCCACGTTGCATACAAATGCATCTTTCTTTCGCACGACCATAGGTTTACCGATGATCGACGTGAATCTGGACGAGGACACGGTTACAACGCGTGACGTTAATCGATGAAAACCTTATACCTCGACGATATATTGGCAAAAGGCAGGTGTCGGTGTCGGTGTCGGTGTCGGTTTCTCGTCGAAACCGTGGCAGCGGTTTGCTGGTAAAAATACTAGGGGCCCGGGACCGGTTCTTGCCGAAAAATTGGCGCCGAGCAGACCACGTTTCGGGTCAAAGAACGGCCTTGCCTCTCTGCGTTTGTCCCTCCTTCGTGATCATCGCGCACTTTTTCGCGTCCTCGTGGTCCCTTCCCTACTCGGAGAGTGATTCGCACCGCCAGTTGGACGCCAATGGCGTAATGTTACTTGCGATCGCTTTAACAGTGCGCGCGTACGACACGTGTATATGTATGTATATACGAGGGACGAACGTTACAGTGAAAAAGAAGGAGAAGAGTTTCTTCGCTTTCCTCCAATAACTATATCAACTGAAATGCATGTATAAAAATGTTGTCGATTGCAAAATGAATAGATACGATCGATCAATGGAACTTTTTCTGTGTATTACACCAGTGCCCGATACACTTATCCGGTATGCAACAGTGCATGTATAGATCGATGGTAACGCTGCGCGCAAGCGAACGCTCGCATCGCGTACAAGAGGGCAGTTGCGCAACAAAGCCGAGGAGGTGAGCGAGACGAAGCGTTGATCGGTGGCGTGGCCGCCAAAAGTGAAATCGAGAGGTGGAAAAGAACGAAACATTGAGCGGAATCGCTTCGAGATATTAAATGAAAACACTGAATTAACGGTCAACTCCAAGTTAAGAGAGCACGTATCAAACGACGGACTGCGATCTACCAGTCGATTTTCGTACGTTTGTTTACGGTGTTTGTACGGTAATCCTAGTTGCGCAGTAATCGTTAAATTACGAATAATCGTGACACAAACCGGTACGTTTCTCTCGTCGATTGCTGCGTAAAAGCAATTTCATGTTTCCTCAAACGTTCTATTCTTTTAAACGGCCATTCTCAGCAGCTAAGCGACTGTCAAAGTAACTGTCTCGATTGTTACGTCAGACCGCTTCTTTTTAGCCTTCTGTCACATCGATGCCGTTAACGACATCGTAATCGTTCGCTTCGTTACGCTTACGTGTTGACTTGGGTGTCGGTATCGCCGATAGTTTCGAATCAAAGCGATCGAAATAACATGCTAAAGACGAAAGTGTTGTCCGCGGCAAGAGAACGCATTAAAAATTGTAGAAACTGGATAGAACTCGCTTCGCAGGTCGGTCAGTAACTTGTAAGGATCGTTAACGTTCCTCGACGAGGATATGCCGAGGGGAAAAGGTGACGTATGACACCGACCACGGCAGCAATGAGCCAACGAGTCAACGAGTCGCTGGTACACCATTCTTGTTGGGAAACCATGCGACTTTGATCCGGCTCCGGTTGTATTTGTACGCGGTATCGTGTCGTCCCTCCTCTGCGCAAGTCATCGACTAGATTACGACGAGGATACACGCGAGATACGCGAGCCAGTGACACTACGGCGGCGGCGGCGGCGCCGCCGCCGCCGCACCGGTGTCAAGGATTCCAAAGGATGCGCAGCAGCTAGTGTATACCGAGATTTATTGGGTTATTTGCGTATATGTTACAAGGCTATGGACGCCAACTAACTTTGACGAATCCTGGACGATCGACTC